CCCCAAAACCCCAAAACCCCAAAACCCCTTGAATAAAAAAGATTCATATTTGATAAAGGATTTAATTGATTAATTTAAACTTATTCAGTTTATATTTGATCTATTTGATGATTATTAGCAAGTTATCTGATGATAATATCAGATAGATGCTACAGTCCTCTTAATTTTCATGATATTTCTATACATGGCAAAGAAGAATAAACATACTCCTATTACCACATAGATATAACTTCCAATCAAGGACAATACATTGATCTTTTTGTCAGTCATTCTTGAACTCATAATAAAGCAGAGTCCGGGAAGAATAAAGTTGACAGAAGACTCAGCAATTGCAGTGAAAAATCCAATGATAATTGTAATGTCATTAATCACATAGGATAAAAACATCTGAGTAACAAATAGAGCAACAGCAGTTGGATAGTAAATCTTGTTTGACATTCTTTCAGATATATGTTGTCTTTGATTATTCACTTCATTATCATTTGGTAGATCACCATTAGCATTATTCTCATCTTATCTTTCGAAGATAGGGGCTTCCCATTAATTATCATTTTAAGAACTCATCTTTTGTTTCTTCAGAAATTCCAATCTCTTTTTAATGCTATTTGAGATAAAGTCACTAGTAAGATCATCTATGATCATTAATAGACTCTCTTTTCCTGCTAGAAAAACGAAAGGAGCGTTGAATACAAAGATAGGCAGAAATAGGATTCTCATGATCAATGAAGCAGCATTGGCTTCAACTTAGATATTGTCGAACAAGTTTGGTTGAAGATTGTTACCGTAAAGGGTGACAGCTAGAGTTGAAAGAATCATAAAAATAGCAAAGCATGCAAGCATCCCAATTATCAAGGATTTGAATCCATTAGATTCTGTCTTAACTTAGAGTTGTGTAAATATTGAGAAGAAACTCATCATGAATCCATATGCAGTCATTACAATGAATGAAGAATCAGCTAGCGTACCATATTTATATGGCTCGACTACTTTATCATTAGGACTGCTTAGCTGAGATTTAAAGTTTATCTTGGCAAAGAGTAAAACTATTAGAGAAGTAAGTCCGAAGAATAGGATCTTTCCTGCTATGTTTAGATCTTTGATACTTTTTTTTATCACGAATGGTAATAGAATTAAGAAAAGCAAGATGATATATAGTAACTTAGAAGTGAATATCATGGCCAATGTATTGTCTTAAATGCTTATCTAATGGCTATTATAAATGTTGTAGGCAAATGAAGCACAAATATTACTGAAAAGCATACCATACATTACCACAATAAGTGACGTCGCTGATGTTATGATGAAGTTAGTAATAAAAACTGATGGTCTACCCAAGCAAATATATGCAATCTCTCCATAGGATTCAAAGCCAGAATATTCTCTAGATTTTAGTAAGAGATGAACTGAGAAGTTGAGAGTTGCAATCATGACTAGATGCATAAGTATTCCAACAACATACCCAGCCTAAGCAAAAACATATGGTATTGATACTACACCAGCTCCGATGATTGTAGAAACAAAAGCCTAAGCTGCTTGCATTGTATTCAGACCCTTAATCCCTATAGTAATATTGCTTCTCTATTGATTTTTTATCATTTCTAAATTAATGAGGTTCAATTGAATAATTACAAGCAGAATCACTGATTTCAAAATTCTCTGGGGCACATTTACTTAGTTCAATATCTTATTGATCTTTTAGATGAATCATTTTAATTGATGGGAATTCTATTATTGCTTACAATAATTAAAATAAATAATGGGGATTTATTATTCAATACTCGTCGTATCTTATCTGTCAAATTCTATCAATTTGTCCAATACGGGGTTTTGGGGTTTTGGGG